ATCAGTGGCTTTTTATTGGGTTATTGCTTTATTACTATTTTTTTGTCGTAATATATGTAATCATGAACAATTTTATTGAATTATTTCATCATTCCATGCTACCATTTAGCAAATTTCTGCGTCAGATTATAATAGTTTTTCTATATAAGTTTCCTTTTTTACCCCTTTAATTGAGAATTGTCAGTGTTTAGGAGCTTAATTGAATTTTGACTCAAAACAATTATTCTTCATTTACAGTTACTTGCATTAATTTAAGATTATTAACGAGTTTGTGCGGGTGACTAGTCAGAGGGATTGCTCTCTGAGGGACCCTCCTTTCCCAACAGGCACCCCAGCTGCATTATCCACGGCCTTTGCTCAGCGGGGATGAGCTCAGCCAATCAGAACGTTCCAGGCGTTCGTCAACAGAGCGTCATAAAAACCCAAAGCGCGGGTGATTTTTATTTTGCTTTATTTTATTTTATTGTATTGTATTGTAAACCACGGCTTTCTTTGCACCATCCCGCCATTCCAGCCCATGTGTCAACACCAAGAATCATCTCCCTCAGTCGTATCAAACACTGCAGGCCAGGGGTCCATAGCTGACAACAAGGAGATTACACTGCATATGGTCACATGCCACATTACATGTGTTTTGGCAGTCAGCATGGTTTAATAAACGGGCCCTAATTAACTCGTAGTCATTTGGAAAGGAAACGGAGCCCCTTCATTGTACAGCTTTATTTTCTGGAATATTTCTGCCTTATAGCAATAGGCTTGGCATTAAGGAGTCAAGCAACAAAATAGATTAATAATACATATTTCTGAGTCTCATTTCCAATAGTTGTGGTGCTGAAAAATCTGAAAGCGGAAAAGGAGGAGGAGGGAGACTGGCAGACATTTACAATTCAACGCACACATCATCCCCACAGAGAACGTCAGATTGCTCTGACATGCCGTCTGAGGTCCAGGAAGAAGATGGACGTCTCCTGAAATGTGCAGCTGCTGATTGAATTTTATATTTTCATAAAGGCAGCAGAAAGGAAAGCAACTTGAGTTGGGGGAGGAACACATGAGTGCGGCAGTGTGCGCACGCGTGCAGGCACTCAGACACACGCCATTAAGAGTGACACGTATGCGAAACAGCCAGGACAAAGTTTTATTCATTCGATTTGTGAGAATGCTAGAAAATCCAAAATTTTCCAAGTAATTGCATATGATTTTTATTTTTACAGTCGGTTGTTGTGTAGAGGTTCTGGATCAAGCGATTAATCAACTTCATGGGTATGATTGAACTTTGAGCCATCACAAGTGAGCCTAGTGATCTTTCAGTCTTTCACACCCTGTGATGAATACCTGGTAAGGTCAAGTCTTATGCATCTTAATGAGGATCCAAGTTACTCCTATTTACGAACATTATCTCGCTTATAAATGTGTTAAATGGGTCACATTTTAAATGTGCTGAATAAACAGGAAATCTTTTCTGTAGTTTCACACTATATTCCTGCAGTTCCTTTATCCAGCACTGCGGTTTGGAAAGCAGAGAGAGATGCAGTAGATCTCGGTAACACCAAGCAGCGAACTTCGATGCTTTTGGCAGCCAGGTCATACATGTGTCACAGTGCAAGCGATTCATTAACGCACAGTATTGTTGTTACAGTCACTTAGTGAACTGTGATGACATATTTTTGTTCCATAAATCATATCCATTGGGTATTATCGTTCAGTGTAGTATGTGAGGGGTATCCATTATCATTGGCTCAAATCCTTGCTACCTGTTTTGTAAGAACGTGGTATATCCTGATGTGAATTTGCATTTTTCTCTATCCATGCGTACGTGTTTCTGCCGGCCTGTCTGTCTGTCTCTGTGTGTGTCTGTCTCTCTCTTGCATAGTTTTCATCGCCACGTGGTGAGGAAATAGGGTCAGAGTCTGTTTTTAGACAATTTTTTTTTATATGTTGATATTTCATATTTAAAATGCCCCCCCGCCATGCTGCAAACGTTTCTGTCCTTAGACGGCACCCCCACAGAAGGAAATGCGGCCTTTTCATGCTCCAGCAACAGAAGGATCTTGTCCATTTAAAAATGAATAACTGTGACAGTCATCTCTAAATTGACTTAGTGTTATTAATGGGTACAGACTGAGCTTGAAATGAAAGTCTTAAACAATGCTATTGCGGGCTAGCGCTGAGAGACCCTCCACAAATTACATGTGAAGGTTGTATGAGAGGCTGTCTTTTTAAATGCTGACATTTCAGAGTTCAGAATGGATTGTCAAAAAATTCTGCAAAATTTTCAGAGAAGGACACACTGTAACTGTTATCATTCAAACCAATCGGTTTATCAGTTACTTTGATAAATTAACCGAGTAATTGTTACCGAATTCATATATTCATATAATGTTACAAATATTTGTGAGTCTTACTATAAATTTTACTGTGTACATTATGTCCTTAAAGAGATGGATTTAATTTTGACTTTAAAATCAATTGATGTTCAATTGATTAATCGGTAATTTTTCAACAAATCTTACACTATGATTCTAGATAAACCATTCCAGTCCATTGAAAATAGTAAGAGTTTGTTGTGCTGTAGTACTTTACTGCCTAAAGATCTTTATGTTTATGGGAACAAAATATTTTTCATGGGAATAAATAAACAAATAAGTGCATTTATCTGATGTGGCACTGGGGTAATTCTGTGCCTTGCCATGTCTTTTCATAGCTCGGTCCCAATTTCCTTAGTAAAACTGAAAAGCTCTATTTTTAATTCCGAAAAAAATCCTTTAATGCACTCAAAACCTTGCTGTCTGAGCTTGCAGATGTTCCTCCATTCTTAAACAGAGCACAAGAAAAGGCTGTCACTCCAAATGTTATCTACCGATAGCAGTTGCCATAGAGATGGTCTCCTGCATCACTGAAGAAATTGGAGAGGGGAGGCGTGCGCAGGTAGCGGCATCAATATCCATCATCCCATCACTTAGTGCAACTTGGCCTTTATAGAGGGGCCTGGATTCTTTGGAACGTTCCAGATCCCAGCCCTGCAGGCAAAGCATTGCATGCAAAGAACAGTTGAACCAGTGGTCGTTTTGGAGTGCGGAGTTAGCCTTGCAGTTCTTGAATTGAGCATCAAAGGCCTTTTGCATGATACATTGAATGCAGTTTACAAGCAATTACACAGGTAGATGTGTTTGTATACATATGCACACATGACTTGGTGTCGTACAAAACCACACTCAGGTTGCCTTCTGCTTTCCTCCTCGGAATCAGCTAATTTTCATGGTGGGGGGCGACTTTTTCTGATAACAAACGGCAACATATGGAAGGCAAGGAGCAAGCCGGCTCTTGCTGCCACGGCAACGGCCGTCATCCTTGTCTCCACTTCACGGATGAAAAGAGTGCAGACAGGTCAGAGCTGATGAGAATAAACGGGGGGTGATGTCAACAGACAGACCCCCCCCCCCCCCCACACACACACACACACACACACACCCACACAGACCCATCTTTCATGTCCTTAGTTATACTCTTTGGAGTGAGGGTCCAACCCATCACTGACGCTGCTGGAATCTCGACTGTAAGCCGTGACGCAAGGTGTTCAGCACCACATGTGATGGGGGAGGGGCGTCTTCCCTCTGTTGGCTTTGTCATGTCCACTGCCACAAATGAATAAAAGGCTCTTAATTTAGGAAGCGTACTCGCAGAAATAATGTAGATATCCTGCATCATCCACGCCTTCACTGTAATTCACCACGGCATGATCAAAGTGCCCGTTGCATATATTCCAGATCTGTGTGTTCAAAGGTTGTAAAATGGGGTCACAAATTAACCAGGATGATTAGATCTAAAAAAAGCCAGCAAATATATGTTTGAGTTGCTTTTTTTTTTTCTTCTGTCTCTTTTCCCTTGTTAACCTAGAGCAGCACAGTATCCCGTCACTGGTCTCATACATTATTGACATAAACGGTGCAAGTCGGCCGTTTCTGTTTCACAGTTTTGTACCGTCTGCGACAGCTGGTAAGTGTTTAAAGACGCTGTCTCGAAGAAGGTTGATTCAAAGACTAGAAGGGTCAACAAGATTTCTATCAAGGATTAGCCAGGAACGCCGTCGGTTTGGGGAAACCTGCAAATCCCTCTGGATGAAAATGTCTGCAAGAAAGTAACATCCATACTGCACCATTTTCTAATGTATATATGAGATGTAGACTTTCATTAATACTAGGCTGATGCAGTATTTGTATATTATGTTAGTTGCTTTATAATTTACCTGTTTTAATATACAGCCAAATTTGTTATTGTATATGTATGCTATCCAACAAATGTATGCATCTAAATGTAGCTACTGTGTAGTTAAATAGTAGTGTATAGGATACACATTATATAAGAACTGTTTTATTAGCTGTATATTAGGTTATCCGGTGTGCAGCCACAGAGAATGAGGGTATATAGGAAGGGTTTCTATTCTGTAAGTATAAGAGGGAGCAGGCATACTGATGCCCTGCCCCACCCCCACTGTGAATTTTTATGGCGCTCTAATTAGATACAGTACATCAGTTTGCTGTAGGGAGGCTCGTCACCTGTGCTCCTCGGAACGCACATTGTGTTCTGCACCTCCTCCTCGCCGCCGTGCTCAGATCCGTCCGAGGGCTCATGCCCCCTCGCCGGCGTCTGTTAGAGACCCGCATGACACTGTGATATGTGCTCTGTAAGCCTGCATGCTCCCTCCCGCCCGCTTCCCGCACGCGAGGCTGGTGTCGCTGTCCGACACCTGTGTGTGCAATCCCCCCCGCTGCCTTTGTCCGCTCGCCGCAGCTCCGCCGCCGTGCCGGCCGTGCTGACTGGAAGCCGTAGCCATGTTTTGACGCCGCACTCGGACAATCGGGCCGAGTCCTTGGGCTTGGAGCCAATCAGGCGCACTCTGTCAACGCAGCAGAGCGCATCATCAGATGCATGTGCGGGGCTTCATGTTTTAAACATGTCCCGTCCCCCCCCTCACCACCCCCTCTGCCTTTGTATTGCAGGGCGAACAGTTCGGGCAAGGAGGATGGTGGAGCCTTCCAAGCTGGTAGAATCTGAGTATACGGAAGGAAGCATCCCCTCCGAATGGGACGGTAATGTTGGGTTTTTTTTGGGGGGGGTTGGTGGGGATATCTTGCCAAATCAGCTTTAGTGTCAAGGCCAGATTAGTAGGTAACAGGATAAAATCCTGAATTTCCACGTGTCCTGTTTTATAACCCCGCTGTTAACCAGGGAAAAGGCTTTTTATAACTGAAAGATCAGTGGTGATGTGGTACCGCAGTAATGGCTCTTCCCTGCAGGGAAGAATGTCCATAAATATATTGTGTACTAGTGTTTTATCATCTTATCCCACTGTGACCCTCGCCAAAAAAAGCGGCACGAAGAAGATGAAGATCCTTAGGCTGCTATATTTAAATCAATATTAGTATTGCTAATTAGTCGTTCTTTTAAAAGTAGCTATCTCCCAGTACTTCTTATGAGACTAAAGGCAGGGTTAGGATAGAGGGAATAGCAGCAAAAAAAAAGGTAAAAGTAAAGAGGAATCCTGGATGGTTTTAAGGGCAGAAGAAGGAGACTGGATGGATAAAATGGGAGAGTTCCCTTGGTTCAGCAAAAAAAAAAAACAGAAGACTGTGAGTCAGTTCGGCCAGCATGGGTGGCACGCCGCTGGAGACCTGGTTTCAGTGAAGATATGAGAGCGAAAATGATAAAGCGTGTTTGTAAGCACAGTCACGGTGAAATGGAATTGGAACCTGCAGTCTGAATGTAAGATCCAACTGTCAGAGTCCTGCAACTGGAGTGTATCTTAAAGGGAAATGGAAATATTTCTAAACTTTAAACTAGCTATTTTTATATGTAGTTTAAAAGACAATTCTGTAAGTCAGTAATGATTTTTGGTAATAATGATCTTTGAGGATGAAAGGTGAATTTTAAAAAATGTAGTTGATAAGAATGCAGACTTGCAGGACGGGTCCGACTGTCCCCTGCTCTGAGGAGGAGCAGCTGTCTCCTTAACGATTAGGATGAGGCCGGGGTTTAAACACACGAACAGGCCCTAACAGTCAACTAAATAACTGTGTGAAACACACAGACCAAAGATACTTTAAATGGTGGTCTTCTCAAAGCTGTCCAAGTTTTCTTTTAGCACTCCCCAGTCTACACAACTGACCCCATTCGAACCTCTAAGAACTGATTTATTCCAGTGAAGGTCAGCTGGATATCATGAAATAAGCGGTCAGTGGATATACGAAATATCGCCCAACGGAACCCCATGAAATCGAGAGCCTAAGGGACACACAGATGTTCCAAAACCTTCTACGTCAAAAATTCAGCTGCACTGATTATCCAAATATCCTGTGCCAAAGCTATTCTTCTGGTTCCCAGTGGAATCTACAGTCCCCTGATTCTAACTACGGTCTTTCTGCCTGTAACTCAACTGCACTCTACCACACCTTCAGGGGCAGCAAGACGGGGGGAGGAAATGATGGTGGAGGTGATACCCTGTCCCCTGAGAACAGGTGGGCACTAAGAATGCCATAGTACTAGCGGCGATCCTCAGTGTCGGGCACTGCCAGGAATGCCCACAATGAGGCTGTTGACAGCTCCCGCCACGTCTGGGAATACGTCTGACTCCGGACATGACACCTGCTTTGCCTGAACAGCATGTAGACAGTAAATGATGAGCTATAAGGTTGCTGCATTGACTGAATGAAGGGCTGCCCATTGCAAAGTTTGATGGGTTTCTGGGGTCCCTAACTGCTCCTGCAAAAGATAGAACGGTGCAGGGGTTACCAGGCCCTCCTCCTTCTTGAGCACAGGGTATAGCCTCTCTCTTCAGTCTGAAATTGCCAGAAGGACTGCTCTAACCAAAGTGAATGGGTGCATCGTATTACCGCTCCACCAGACAGGATCCCCAGCTGGTTCTCCCTCAATGACAGGATGCTGCCCCCGGTGGAAAGGGAGAATCATAACCATTTGCCAGCTCTGGGCTCTGTCCTTAACCTGTGTCTACAGTGGACACAGCTGTACTCCTTGCACACAAGGTAGATGCTGCAGTGGTGACAGCAGATCTCCTCTCCTGGGTACGGCTGCAGCTGTGGGTCCCGTGGGTACAATAGGGCTCGAGTGACGCTAGTAACTTTGCCGGCTTACACTGTCATGATTGCTGCTGCTTATCTTTCTCATTCTCTAGAAGTTCTCTGGAATCGGGCCTCCATCTTTTTATACGTCCCTGTTGGCTTTAGATCTGTACTTTGACGTGGCTGATTCCCTCCACCTTCTTCCAAGGTCTACTGGCCGCCGGCACTCCTTGTTGGAGGCCCAGGCATCCCTTTTCAGCCTTTGTGGCTAAACTGTACTCGCTGTGCTGATGACAAGGAAATCCAGCTTGCTTGAGCTTCTCTCTGGTCACCATGGTTTGGTATATAGGGAGCAAAACAGTGCTTGGGGTTCCATATACTGTCACACTCCATTTCCTCAGGCTCCCTCTGGATCTTTCAGCATGTGGAGGAAAGAGGCTGATCTTCCCTTTTGGGAGCTCATTTGCCAAGGCACTGAACTGTCCATCGTCAAGCTAGCTGCCGTTGTAGCAGCTTGGTTTCTGGGACCTTGGTAATACCCTCCCCTTCCAAAGGACAGGAGCTGGGGTGTGCATGCAGGCAGAACAGATGGCTGCTTCTCTAGCAGCTCCAGGTCCACAGGTACACAACCAATTGGTAGCAGTCATGTGGTCTCCCCTCCAGGGTCCTAGTTTCGGCTCACATTTTGGAGGAAGCTCAGTATCAGATCCTCCTATTTCTTAAGGTAGGTGACATAGCATCAACACTCTAGCCGTAGGGCTCAGGTCAGCCCTCCTAGACTGCATGTTGTCTGCATCAATGGTGACAAACCCTTCTCTGAGCATCTTCTATCCATCTCAAAGTGCAGAACCCAATCTGCCTTGTCCTATAGGCATAGTAATATACACAAGTTTTTCATCAAACTGTTAGAGCAACAGACTTGCAGGGAGACCTACCACATGTGTAGGACTGAGATACTGGAGAGCTTTGTTTACATCAAACATTTTATTATTATTCGTCATAAACTTAATAGGAAATGGGAACCAAGTCCCTTTAAGCATCAAAGAGAAAAGAAACACAAACAGCAACAAAATAAAACTGCACAAATACAAAGGTGTTTTTACAAATGTGAAGGCCTATTTCTTCAGGATTAGTTTGATATCCCCCTAGCAGACCCAGTTTAATTCTCCACCAAGGCAATGAGCTGAATCAGAGCTGGCTGGAATTCATTAACTGTAGGTCTGTGGATACCTATCCGATGATCAGCCTGTCACATGTGTATACAGCAGTGCTTCCCAGGTCGGTCTCCGGGCAATCCACATTTTTGTTCCCTCCCTACCGGGAGCTGGGAGGGATAAATATGGACTGTTTGCAGGGAGGCGGTAGGGAGAAAAACCTGGACTGCTGGGGATCCCCGAGTACCAGGTCGGGAGCCATTGGTATACAACAGGGGTGGGCAGTCTAATCCGTAAAGGGCCGGTGTGTATCCGGGTTTTCGCTGCAACTCCCTTATCAGGTTACTAATGAGAGGACTGATTGGCTGAGGAGTCCTCACACCTGGGTTTGAACAGCTGACCTAAAGGTTACCCCAGAAACCTGCATAAACAACGGCCCTTTGCGGATAAGATTGGCCACCGCTGATATAGAGGAATAATTGTTTCTCTGCCAGGTGTATCTAGTTTTTCAAAAAGAGCTACTTTTCTGAGGTAATTGTGCTGCTGAAGAAAACCAGCTTTAAATCTATCTGTAATGTGGATGTCATTATAAATGAAGATATAACTAGACTGAAAAATTCTGAATTATTTTTTGCAGTGAGCAAATCTGTATCCTATATATCTATAGATGCTGGAAAATCCATTAATTGCATTTCAAATGTAACAAAATACCGATAAGGCAAAGCTGGTCCATAGGAACAACAGCAATACAGTATACTAAATTTGTCAAATAATACTAAATAACGCAGATCATGTATGGTGAGGTAAGTCAGGAGTGGTCTTGGTCAATCAACTGAATTGCAAACACTGATGGAGCTTTGTTTCAATAATCAGTGTTAATCATTGTTGTCTTTCATAATTAAAACATCAAACACTGGCATTTAATTCAGCAGAATGAAAAAAAGGATTTCACTGAACACTGACCTTGTTTTATGCTTCAGCTCACATTTTCGTAGGTTAGGGGAATATTGCTCAGGTTTTACTATTTGACATTCTGATATAATTAGTTGCATAATTGTTTTGAAAATCTTGTGGGACTGATTGTGTGAACTTTAACAGCCAGTAGAGCAGTTTTTTGGGCTATAAAAGTAGTGACAGAGTAACCTCAATATCTTGTTACTATACTTTACTCACAGGGCATCATAGATGGGGCAATCCATTTAACTTATTATAAAACACCCCCAATGAAATGCATGACTTTAAAATGCAAATTTGTATTTTGAGATGGGAAAAAATACCTGGTGGGGGGTGATACTTGATAAATTATTTTGACAGATTTAATTTGTTTGTTCTTTCATAGCAAAAATATAAATAATATGCAAAACTTTATTACTGGGAATCGCAAATAAACATGGTTAGCTCATTATTAAATTTTTTTTTTTAAAACTGCTCGTCACGCATGGAAAAGCATATGGAGAAATGAAATATGATCAGATTTGCCATCCTTAGCCATGTTCTAAGTGCACATAAGACACACACTTAAGGCACTATATAGGTCTTATTTATTAAGGGAATGAAGGATTCCTATGTGGTTCTGAAGTACATTTTTTTCTGTATAATTGCACTAAGATCTTCCCTTAAAAGGCAAAGCTAATGTAAATTAACGATTTGAGTAATCGCTGCCTCTTACTGCAGTGTTTCCTTCCTACTGGGAGGCTCAGTGTTTGAGGATGCCAATTTCTCCATTCATATAGCCTGTGTGCTTCCCCTTGGTAAGATGAGCATGACACTAATGTCATTCATAGGCCAGAACTTTTTCCGCCATCAGACCAAAAACAATGTATTTATGGTTTGGAGTTCATTTGATGTGAAAAAAACGATGCATCACTCTTAGACTCATCTGCCACATGTAGATAATGCACTGGAACCAAATGAAACCAGTTACACCTTTTCCTCTAAACCCATTGCAAAATTCATTTTATGGAATGTATTGAAAACACTTAATATTGCTCCTGTAAATATGCAGACCTTTCATCTTTTATAGGTCATAGGTCAAATCTTAAAATCTTTGTGTAAGGTTTAATATTTTATTATGGACAGTGTAGATAAACTCAAACAATTGTTTTGTGCAGAAGTAAACTTGTGCAGCAAACTGCGGTTCACAGTTCTAAATGCAACTGAGCATTTCCAGAAATGACTAATCAGCTTTCGGAATTGCTTTGCCACTGTTGGGAAGGGCCCTTTAGTTCAGTCTTTCTAGAACATGAAATTTCTGTTTTAATCAGTGTTTCTAGTACATATGCATGGTCATGCTGCAGTACCCATTTGGAACTTTAACTCATGGATAGAAGCCCATGCGTTCTCTTCCAGAACGTTGTACGGCTCAAAATTATTGGTTTGTTCAACAAATGTCATCGACATCCATAGATAGAAAACGGCATCAAACAATGACACTCCTAACATGGTATTTAACAGCTGGGACAAAGTTATTTTAGAAGTGGGCGTTTAAATGTAGTGTTTTTGGTTGTAGCCAAAATACCTCATTTTAGACTCCTAAGAATTTCACTTCCAAAATCTATCTAAAAGCATCTAGGTGGTGTTTTACAGACTTAACATGAGCAGCCATAGTCTTTTTTGAGAGCAAAGGATTCCTCCTGGTTAACCTCTCACGAATACAGATGCTATCTAGTTGTATTGTTGAAGTATGAACATCTACATTCAGGGTGGCCTGCAGATCCGCTCTTCTGGTCCTGGGGTTCTTAGTAGAGATGCACCGATCGGCACTGATCTATACCTATTAGCTGGATCGGGTATCGGCCATATGTGACCGATCCCCGTCCGATACTTATTTATTTTTCGCCAGTCTGTAAAAAGATAGCTCCAATTTATCGTTAAATCAATTTTTACAATAAGTTGCACAACAGCTCTGTCCCATTTTAGATGTGATTTTTGTGCCATTCATGCTGAGCGCTAACGCTGCCACTCAGTGGGTGTGAGCACAGTGACTTCCTCCAACTGTGATGTCATGCGCATATCCTTTGCAGTTCAAGGAGCGTAAGAACATCACATAAGAGGGTGAGGGTCTGGAAGTATTTTACGCTTGAAACAACAATTAGTAGCGTAGAAACAAAATTTTGAGAGGTAGAAGTAGTGTTTAGTGGAAAATCCCACTAAACAAAGTGCACACAATTGTGCGAAAGAACGCGAGTGATTTGAAAAAAAATCAATGTATGATTTGTGAATCGCTAACTTGGGGTGTTTTGCGCACTCACTGCAACGTGTAATACACAGGCTGCTGTCGCAACAAAGTGACACTTACCTCAGTCAGGTTGCAGGGCATTTTAAGCATTCGCCACTTGCGTATCCTCCTTTGGTAGATATTCAAATTGAACTTTAAATGCCTCAAAAACACTTAAAACAAGATGCACAAACGAGGTGGAACCTTAATAATAATAGATACTTTATTGATCCCCTTGGGGAAATTGTTTTTACGCCTCCCTCAACTTGCTCTTTGCAGAGTAAGTTGCCCGCGAAGGGCAGCCACCCGTAGCAGCGCCCAGGGAGCTGGGGGTTAAGGGCCTTGCTCAAGGACCCACAGACGTGCTGAGGCTGGGTTTGAACCGGTGACCTTCTGATTACAGGCACAGCACACTGAGCCACACGCTGTGTATGTTTATGTTTATGTATGTTTCTAGTAGCCTAATTAAAGATTTTTTGGCATACATTTTTTTTATTTGGATGTACTAGTATTGTGTATCGGAATCAGATTGAACTGAAAAAATGTGGATCGGCCCATCCCCAGTTCTTAGGCGTTGTTTTTTCTTATTATGGATGGATAAATGCAAACATGTTTCATGATAGTTCTCAAGAAGTTTTGTATTTTAGCAAGTTGTTACCCTAACCTGTACTTGTGAATCCAGATGTGATATGTTTATGTATAAGAGAGCCAAAGAGAATGTGTCCTGGTGATTGGCTTATTTATTGCTTAACTTGGTACCCAGTAATTTACACTTCCCTCATTGACAGAGTTAATCAACCTTGCAGTTCACTTGTTTTTCTGGATCCACGGATTCTTCTTTGCTATACTTATTCTGTTACATGCATCATTTCCTGTAAACAAATGTATAATGACAGGATGTGAACACTTTCTTTTGCAAATGAAAAGGCGTTTTGATTGAACTATGATTACACTGTGAAAATGTGACATTTCAACCGCTCCATTAGCAATTCACAAACTTTCAAGCAGCTCTACACAGCTTTTCTACCAATCAAGGTAGCAATTACAAAATACAGATCTTCCAAATGAAGCACACATAGAATGGATGCTTTGGAAGATCGATGCTCTAGTAAATGAGTTTTTAAGTCATCTATAATTGTAATTTACAGCTCTTTTTTGGATTTGTTGAAGATGCAACTTGGTGCATTTGATACAGAAGCAGATTCCAGAGCCAGCGCTCCTCTCTAGTAGAATAAATAATGTTCAGGCCTACTACAGTGCTTTTGATGTGCTGTTTTAATAGGTTGGGTCTTTTCCATTTCGAGAAGGGAAAGCCAGGAGACACCAGCTCAAAACGCCACGTCTGTGGCCTGCTTGCTGATCTGCACTGTCATTACCTCTGCCTATTTAAATAGATATCTCTGTGACAGTATAAAAGAGCCTCTGCAGGTTGGATGGAACACGTCTCTTTCATATGTCTGGCTTCTCCCTGAACGAGTTTCGGTTTATTTATATCTGCCACACGGTTTGATGCACACCAGGTGGCCATCCAGCAACGAAGCCGTCACCACTCCCCCCATTTCTGCTTGCTAGCATTTCCTTCCTTTGCCTATTTCACGGCCCCTGGCCCTCCCCCTCCTCTGTCTGCCCTCCCCAAGTGCACCATTTAGGGCTTAATGCAAGCTCTAATTGTTGGTCTCGCGCTCATTGATGTGCGTTACACGACGGCTCGCTGTTTGAAGCGGCGTGAAAATTTCTTGCATGCTAATCGGAATTTAAATGAGCCGGGGATGAAAAGAGGTGGGGATCCTGAGCAGCCAGCTATCTCTGGCGGGGTCCCGTTCCTGGGTGTGCACGTGGGGGAATGACTTGGGTAATGCCGGCACCTGCCCTCTATCTTCCCCGCAAGCTAGAGTACCAGTGTGAAAATAGAGGTGGAGCTCTGTGAGAAAGCAGCTTTAAAGGCATGGGGAAGGTGCACCGTTTGCTCACAGATTCAGCTTGACAACTGAGACCTCAGAGGGAAGCGGAAGCCTTGAGATATGCACAAAGCTGAAATTATTCAAATAGGGCTTTATGCTCCCACAGCTTCCGACTTTGGATTCTAGCATTTACTGTATCTCACTGGGCTGAATATGTACTATTTTCATGTGATCTTCCCCATTGGCAAACATAGGCAGCTTTGTTCTTTTGTGATACTCCTGGCTTTTTTCTGTCAGGGACTGTATTAGCCAGCCCCAAAAACAGGCAGGTTTTTTAGTAAGTACAGAGAAAAGTGTTTCAGTATGAAGCGAGAAATGTTGGAGTAGTTTGCTGGTTAATTATATTAAATATGCAGGTTTCAGATATTTTGTCAAATGTCAGAATTATACTAGAAGAATCTCTAGATTGTTGGGCTTTTCTGAACCTGCAAAGCAGACACTACTTGCACTGTTTCTTTCTTGTCCATCTACTGCAGGTGCATTAGGCCGGGTGGTGTCTTGTAAACAGTGTGTCTTACATGTGATGTTGATGTTCCCACAGCTTGGATTCGAGGGAGGAGGAAGGATCCACCCACAATTGAGGTGAGTTTGTATTCTTTGTCAAGTGATACCCGGCCAAGTTACAGTGGAACTACTTGAAGGGTTCACTCTCTTGAAATTTCTAGAAGTTAATTAATATTAATTGTGTACTTATTGGTATTAACTATGTCATGTCATGTGCATCAGTCAGTGCATCATCAAAATTCATAACGTGTCAATGGCAATTATTGATTTGCTAGCAAAATCTCTGACTAGCCTGTCTTAAGGTTTTATATTTCTTGTGTTTTATGAATCAGTGAAGGTTTATCAACTATAATGTCCAGTTGCAAACCGTTTTAGCTGTTGGGCAATAAGAGCAGCATCCCAGACCTCAACCTGATCATCCTGTTTTAATATTTAAATTATGCTTGCTTGTTTAGCAGATACTTTTGTCTAAAGCAAAATACAAGTGAGAAAGGCTTGGGGTCACAGCGCAGGTCAGCCAGTACCCCCGGATCAGTTGGGATTAAAGGTCCTACATGGAACACGCATTCAATCCCATGACCTTCCGGACATGGGCACGGATCCCAAACCCATTTAGTCACACAGCGGCCTGATGCCCTCAGCCAACAATGCATAGGAGGGATATTTTGGTCAGCTGTGTTGTTCCAGTGAGTTCACATTCTGACAGTGTTCAGTGCAGTGTTGCTGAATGTCATCCTTTCACCAGTGTTGCATGTGCATCAGTGCTACTGTATATTTAGGTCAGTGTCCTGGTATGCATGTCTGATTCTTTGGGAATTTAAGTCAAGGAGTTGGCTGAGCATTCTGGAGCAGGCATGCAAGTTTGATTTGTGTTCTTTTTGAGTGTCCAGATATCAGCCAGAGTTTGGGATTTTTTTTTCTTTTTTATGTTCCTTCTGAAACTCAAGCGAACACTGCACCAAAGCGAGGTTTCCTGACAGAGCAGGGAAGAGAGCATTCAGGCATCCATCTTCTGGTCTAGGCAACAGAGAGCAGAACACCCTGGGTAGGATGCCAGTCCATTTCAGGGCACAGACACACAGACACACACACACACACACACACACACACACTGCAGGCTACTTTGAGGTGCCAGTTAGTCTATCTGCATACCTTTGGACTGTGAGAAGAAACCAAAGTAGTGGGAGGAAAGCCCAGTGAAGCTGAGCTACCATGCAATTTCATCAATAAAATGAAGTAGTTGTACAACACAAATACATGGTCATATATAGCTTAGCTAAACGTCATAAATTGTCTGATCTGTGAACAATTTCTAAATTGTACTAAAATGCATGGTATTAAAAAACAGGAATGGAAATGTTTCTACTTTTCACTAGGCCTGTACAATGTGTGATGTTAATATGGACATGGCATGTGATGCATATGCAGCTGTCATACTGCGAGGATCGGCTTGGTCAGCTGGTCAGATTAGGCTTGAGCAGGCATCTAATTTTTCATACCATGCAGCCATTATACCGTGATTTATGATATTTTCCAAAGTTTGTCGAATGGAGATCATGAATAAGTTTCGCTAAAACATTTTTGCTCGGTCATTGGTGACCTTTTCTCAATTTTTAATGATTGTTGTTTAATAAGACTATGATTTCATATCTCTCATCCATGCTGTCAGACTCACTCATAAGCAGTGTGGCGCGTTTGTGAGAATTTTAACACAAATGAGTAAGGAGGAGAAAAGCGAACAAGACCTGGTCATCAAAAATCATTTGCCTTCCGCAGTATGGAAATATTTTGGATTCCATAGAGGCGATATTGAGCAAAAGCAAGTGATCAGCAACGCTTTGTGTCAGCACAACTCGTGGCAACAACTTATCTGACAAACTCTATTGGTAGATAAGTCCTATTTAGCTATAGTTGGTTTCAGGTAATTTTTCAACTACTTTTTTGCTTTATAAAATATCACAATATATATATATATATCACAAAAAATGATCACATGAATTTTTTCCAAAATCATGCAGGACCACTTTGCATGAAATATTTTTATGAAATAACAAGTAAGATAGTAACTTAGGTGAGTAAGTCTTGAGATGGGCCTACCAGTGACAGCCATTGCAACTTTTCTGGCTGTTAAGATATCTCTCAAGGAATCCATCATAACCGTAATCATAACATAAAAATAAGTACTTCAAGTACATCAAGTACTTCATGTCCCTCATAGAGGAGGCATTGTTTTGTGAAAATTTGATTTATACAAGTATTAAGTGCTTATAGTGTAGCCTGCACAACACCTTGTTGGAAAACTCCATAGCTACAGCTAGCCAGAGCATGAGAAGGAGTAATTTTACTGTAGTACTGGGAGAGAGCCATCCATCTTAAAACTCCTATCCTGGGTTTGAGAGGGCCTGAAGTCCATAGCAGGGGTATACCCTCAACTGGTTTTTCATGGGAGTTTCTTACACAAAAATATTCTGAGGGCACAACGAAAAACAATTCAGTGATGATTCAGAGAGATAACCAGTCAGGTTGTAGAGGAGGTAGGTCTAAGCAACTAGATGAAGTGTGACCAAGACATCTGATTGGTCAGTCCCGCCTCCTGTAGTTGCTTGGACCCACCTAGTCTACAATCTGATTTGTTCAGAGAAATGACCAATCATTTTTCGTTCTGCCCTCAGAACATTTTTGTGTAAATAAAACTCCCACAAGCTCAACTGGATGCCAGTACGTGGAAGGTCACATACATGCACAAAATCACATACTACAGGCAATTTAGAAATGCCACTTAGCCTGCATGCATGTCTTTGATCTGTAGGGAGACATGAGGGGAACAGACGAACTCCACACACATACAAAGGCAGAGGCTAATGTTCAAACCCCAAATCATGGATTTGTGAAGCAACAGCACAACCCAGAAGACAAACAGCTGGGCGAAACAATGATTTAAAAAAAAAGTGCTTTGCTAGATTTTCCCAGATTTTCTTTAACAAGCAGTGAGAGGAGTGTGAATGGCCTGCATGACACATTAAAGCTTCACATGTGCAACCCATATGCCTGAATTTGCCCCAAGAAACACGCAAGTGATGGCACATGGGGAGTCATGCAAACCACATGCCACAGGGAGCAGCGAGTCAGATACCCAGGATTTTGATCACCTCAGTGGTAAACCAAGATTACAGTGTATTATTTTTATTTTTGCCTAATCTTTCTAGTCTGTAGGTTATCCGGGATTCCGTGCCAGCAATCGCCTACGCACCAGGTGCAATGGCGGGGGTAAAGCTTATTGGATAAATTATAAGATGTCCGGTTGTTTCTGGAATATCTGTGGTAAATGACGAAAAAAAAACTGGGAGGATATAAAAGAGAACCTTATTACTCCAAGATACTCCCTTGACCTCCTCCTTTTTTGCAGCTGTCATTTAAGCTTTGCCAGAACCTTGTGATTTATTCAGATTGGTTATGGCTGGAAGAATTCTTTGATTAATCCTAATTAATAAGTAGATGGTGCATACCAGACCCATGTCTTCACCCCCTTGCACATTCGATGTTTCCCAATCCAGTCCTTGGGGACCCACAGACAGTCCACATTTTTGCTCCTTGCCAGCTCCCGGTAGGAGCGAAAACGAGGACCGTCTGTAGGTCACCAGGTTGGGAAATGCTATTTTAAAGGAAATGTTATCCCAGTCAGCAAATCATCTGGCGCAAAACCCACAATTAACAGACTGGAAAAGTTATTCGGAGTATTTTGTTCCCAGTCTAAGGCTTTTTGGCCAAGGTTTCTTTTCACCTATCCCAAACTCATGAATCTGCCAACACCATGCTGTTCTCTTTCTTCCTGAAACTTCTAGAAACTTGGTTAAACCAGTAAGGCTTTTTTTTATGCCCCCGTCATTTATTAAGGGTTTTTCTTTGCCCCCTTATAAAGGCCTCTTTTGTGTGTTCATTCAGTGGAGTTTAACATGGCACGAGGGCTCCGTTTCCAGTGACAACCTTAAAAGACTGGAGGTAGAAAGCAAGGAACCAGCAAACGAGACTGACAGCTAAAATTTCGAACCTTGCGGCCAGTGGCATCCCAATGTGCTGTTTCATCTGGTTTCCATGCAAGCTGACATTTTAGAGAATAACAAGGGCGCTGGGGTTATTGGTACCTGCTTTTCCCGGCTTTCATCTGAAAAGGTGTGCCTCATGGCATCGTAATAAGCCCCACTGAATCTAGAGGGAGGAAGAAGAAAGAGGACAAAGAGAGACCTGAACAACTCTTCCAGCTGCAAATGTCGATGTTGCCTCCTCTACCTCAGTGTTTCTTCTAAGAATCTGATGGACCTTTTCTAGGACCGGTCAAAGCCTGTGCGTGTAAATAGAATCCTTATTTCATACTGAGGCCCAGATTAAAGAAAGCTTCTAACCCCCCACTAGCCGTAAATTACAGGCCCAGCAGCACTTGCTCGCTTGCAACTCTCTCCAAAGTGCAACTGAGCTCAGAACCTCTCTGACAGGGACAAGAAACACAATGTCTGATTGTTCCACGCACGGCTTTGATAAGATAAGCTCTCGGCTGTTGGCTCCATGGCAGCGTCTCTCCCCATCTTTGCTCTTCCCGGTGGCGACCGTTCTGCACATGTTTTATAGTAAATAAATACGTTCAGCCTCCTGGATCATGCTCCAGCGCTCTGACTGATGATATTCCTATCGTTTTACGAGCCGTCCTCCTTCCCCCTTTGGCACACAATCAAAGTCCTTGTAGGTGAGCCATCGATCGAGATCATGCAGGGGTTATAAAATTTGATGAAAAGGAGCATTTGTTTTCTTTTTCTTTATTCAGCTACACTCTTATCTGCAAAGGCCTCTCTCGAAAGTGTGGCTGTGAGGCCCACTGGGCTAATGTGGACCAGATCAGAAGCAGAGTAGAATCCACAGGCTGAGGCTAGCTTGCTCAGAAGAACCTCGCTTTGAAGGTCTCTCTTTACTTGGGTGCTCTCTGGAGAAATATGTCTCCGATTGGTCAGCCGTCAGTGTGGCTATAGTGGTCCCAGTCAAACAATCTGTATCACATTTTTATTTTTAAACTACTCATGGCCATTTCTGTTAAAATACTTACTTCACCTACTTTTCCCTTCTCTGGTTACCTCATTGGTCGCCCCCTCAACACACAATGTCTATGTTAACTCCACAGTCATGTCGGCGAAGCTGGGCATGCTACAGGCTGCATGGGGAAGTGTATCACGCTAACATTGCTCTCCTCTAAAACTTTTTTCCACTCACAGCGCAGTAGTCACCTGGTCAACACTAAACTTCACTGTAGAGAGATGAGAGAGAGAAAGGTAGATATCTGACCCACACACTGAGCAAAGTGGCTAATTTTGTGCTGTCTGTCTGCATTCTCCCCACACAAAAGCAGCCAGCCTCAAACCTAGATCCCCATTGTAGGACACGGCTCAGTTTGTCAATTGCACCATCGAGACTCCCGTAAAGTACTTGCTCCATTGGGATACGGGTGCTAATTAAAGGACCTTTTCCATTATTCATCCATGTTTATAACCAAACATCCACCCATTATAACTATTTATCCAATTACGGTTTAACTGATCTAAAACCAGTAACAGGAAGCAGATGGTTAGGAACCTGGTATGGAAAAAATAGCAGCCAATTTCATCTCCAACTACGCTAAACATCTTTGTACTTCAGTCCTCAAAGGAAACACATATGAAAACGTGTTTAATTGGAATTGGTGTTTTTTTATCAGTCCCAACTACAGAGATGCTCAATCTGGCCTTTAGATTATAATAGAAAAACAGCAGAGAGTGAGGAAATGGCAAAAATTTTGACACTCGGGTTGCCTAACCTGCTTAAGTTAAAAAAATGTTTAAATCGGTGTAAATCTGTTGTTATGCTGCACACATGAATGGGCATCTGCAAATCAGTCTCTGTCTGTTGTCTACGCAACACCAGAAGTAGCCCGGTTCTTTATCAGTGAGTGGCTATGACACCTAATTACACATGTTTACCGCAGGCCTTCAGGAAGCTTTTTATGGTGCTCATTGTGCATTCTAGGGGGTTACTGTAGAAGTGCATCGGTGAAATCAATCACTGCGCCCAAATGGATGTACAGAGAGAAATAAAGGCTGGTGTGACTCACTTTTGTATGAAAACAGAAGGAGGTAAGGCTCAGTCTACCCTAGCTCAGTCCTGCCAACCTCCATATCGCAGCGGAGACAATTGTATCATTCTCACTTACAAATTCACAAAACAGACCTGTGCTGTGTAACCACCAGGAATAGATTTCTACTAGCATATCTGAGATAGCGGAGAAAGGAGGCCAGGGTACTGTCAACCCAAGCAGAGCTGTGGCAGGTGCATGGGACACCTGACATGGAGGTGTGAGCATTCAGCCACTCTGGAGCGATGCTGCAGCTCCATCCCTCCCACTGCTTACTAATCATAATGGCTGGCATGGAAAGGATACAGGAGAGGCAAGATTGCAAGTGTAAATGCATTAGGTAAAAGACAGTGTCATTTTGCCACTGATATCTGACGTTTGCACACTTTTACTCTCTACGGGCCGAGCAGGAGCTGGAGAGGAACCAACTCTACAGGGAGCAGATCAAGCAAAAAGCCCGTGAAGTGGAGGACAGGGACTCCACCCTGCAAGCCCAGGAGCATGCAGAGGGTCTGGTGGCACGTCCTATGCAGACGCTCATCGAAGGACACGCTTCTGCCAAACACTTCCGTCAGACCAGACCGAGCGAAGATCCTATCAGCACTGGCAACACCTTCGAACCCGGGTCCTGGGCACCCAACAAGGGAACCACATCAAAAAAATAAATGCTATAAGAATGGTTGTAAATATGGTCTATTCTTTAAAACCACAACGCTGTGTTAAAAAAATCACAATGTAATGATTTACAAGTCACATAAAGCCATATTTAATCAAAAATAGAACAAAGACGACATAGCAAATGTTGAAACTGAGAAATTTTATAGTTTTATTACAAATATATGCTGAATTTGATGTCAGCAACACGTTTAATCTTTTCTTTTAACAGCACTCTGCAAAAGTTTGGGAACTGAGGAGAGCTGTTGCTAGAGTTTTGAAAGTGAAACGTTACCCCCTTCTTGCCTGATATCAGATTTCAACTGCTGAACAGTTCAGGATCTCCTTTGTCGTATTTTGCATTTCGTGATGCGCCAAACCGGTCTGGACTGCAGACAGGCCACTCTAACACCGGGACTCATCTACCGCGGAGCCATGCTGTTGTAATACGTGAAGAATGCGGTTTGGCGTAGTCTTGCTGAAATATACAAGGTCTTCTATGAAAAAGATGTTGACTGTATGGCACCATATGTTGCTCCAAACCCTATATATTTTGTTCAGCTTGAATGGTGCCTTCCCAGAAGTGCAAGCTACACAAACTTTGGGCACTAATGCACCCCCACACCATCACGGATGCTGGCTTTTGAACTGTCCACTGATAACAAGCTGGATGGTCCCTCTCCTCTTTAGCCCAGAGTACACGGCGTCCATGATTTAAAAAAGGAACTTTACATTTTTATTCATTGGAATATAGGAGTTTTCCGATTTTGCCTCAGTCCATCTTAAATGAGCTTGGGCCCAAAGTCAGCAGCGTTTCTCGATCATGTTTAGATATGGTTTCTTCTTTGCTTCAAAGAGTTTCATCCTGCATTTATGGATGCAGCGATGAACTGTATTCACAGATAATGGATTTCGGAAGTGTTCCTGAGCCCATGCAGTGATTTCAGCTGTAGAATCATGTCTGTTTTTAATGCAGTGCTGCCTGAGGACCCGAAGATTACGGCTATCCAGTTCTGGTTTTCGGCCTTGTCCCTTGCGTACAGAGATATCTC